TGAAGCACTTTCTTGGAGATACAGAGCAGTTGGCATGGTCCCCAATTTATTGCATTGATAACAGATTTACCTGCTAATGTCCGATGCCCTTTGTGTCATTCCTGCTGCTGCAGAGACACCGTCCAAAAACTGGTGTAAGAAGATCGCTCTGAATATGAAGGAGTGGGGCACGTTCTTGGTGATCTTTCCATGCCTAAGAGTTGGTGCATCTGGTATAAGAGGGTTACCAAAATGAACGATCATCAACGGTCCCTGCATTTCAAAAAACGTCATTAAATACAACAGGGAATAATTGCTCCAGAATTCAAGTTCTGAACAACATTTCATAATTGAGTCTCCGTCCACGTACCCAAAAAAAAAAACAATTAAGCAGGTATCATACCATGACCTGCAGCAAAACCAACAATGACAAGCAAGACATAAATGAGATTCAACTCAGAATCGGAGGAATGCTCATGATTCCTTGGGATTTCTACTGATAAGCAGGAAATACCGGAAACTCCAATTCAAGGCCGCAGAGCCACCCGCTTCCTGCTGGCCGAGCAAGTCCAAGAAGCTGCAAGGAGAAGCAGTAGCAGTTTCCAATGTCTCAAGAATTACACATGTGACAGAAGCATCAGAGCACCTTTCGCTCCGGGAGACTCGACGTACAAATCTGAAAACAAATTTCGGTCGTCTTCTCCGTCTTCTCTCGTCGAAGCAGAGGCGGGGCTGGAGCTTTTTTTTTTTCTTCACCTTGATGAACCTCGACGAGATGTGCGACATTTTCTTCAAGTCTGGGAGGAACCGGCTCCTCGTCAAGAGGCTTCGAGGCCGTTCATTTCCGCTTTTCGTGGCACAATTTTCTCACCGTTATTTTGCCCTATGAATACTCTTCTCGGGGAAATTCCCTCTTTCTTGAGGGAATTGAGGAATCGGATTTCTGGACAATTTGAGGCATCCCGTGTCTCAACTTCCCCGTTTCACCTCACACTTCATCAGTCGGAAGGCGGAAAATGGATCTTCGTCGAAAAAATGCCGCGAATCACAGAAAACATTTGCAAATTAGTATCATGAAAGTTTTGAATTCTCCAGGTTGTATTGGGGAAAAATAGCAACACCCCTCGAAGACGCGTCGCACTTAATGCCTGGACGATTGATTTCGCTTTTAATTCAGACAGCTTAAGCGCTTGAAGCTTTCGGGAAGTGATCCTTTATAGTGTTTTTTCAATGCCATATTTTTTAAATTACGATCTGAGAGTTTCCAATGTCGATTTCACAAGGTACGTATACCTCTCCGCATGTCCTTCATTTACCGAATTCGACCGAAGCATAAATGAAAAGAGGGAGACCTACGAGACCGGGCTGGACAGACGGCGTCCGAGACGTTTCTCCAAGGAGGAAAACACCGCTGGCAAACCGACGGAAATCATCACGGCGGGTCGCCGAACCGCGCGAGAGACCGAGGAACGCTGATTCGCTTCCATTACCACCCATCGGTGGGGCAACTGGGAAGATCGTGATAGGAATTTGCTATAGGCCCCCTAACTCTTCTCTCGAGGATGAAGCAGCTTATTTTGCACTCATGCGTAGGATCGGCGAGATCTCGAAGCAGGTATTGCTCTTCGGAGACTTTAACATGCCAAAAATAGATTGGTCGGTGCCGCAAGGGGGGTGCGAAAGGGATAGGGAATTTCTCGTTGCGGTTCA